CCCAGCAGGAGCACCTCGCGCATCCAGCTGGCAAAGGGGAAGTCGCAGTACATGGAGCCCTGGACCCATCGTCCAAAAGCAGTTAGCAGGTCATACTGGAGTTTGATCTAATAATAAGAATAAGATAATCATCTGGGAGAGAAATATTCTGAAAATGTTGCGGGAGGATGTTCTCCCACCGGCCTCAGCAGGGTAAGCTGGAGTTAAGTGGACCCAGGTTCGCTTCCCCCTATCTCCATGACATCCTCACTTGTGTGTTTAAAGTAGGTGCTTCAGCCTTTAATATCTGATGCCATGTCGCTCAGCCTTTAGCTTTTCATCAAGTAGAGCCACCATGTACTAATCTAAAAACCTAAACAGCATTCTTTAAGGTCTCCTGTTCCCTCAGTCAACAACTAACTGGTCGAGTCCTGTCGAGGGAACTTGTTTGTGACATCCCTTTTATTGCCTGCCCCTGTCCAGTCCACCTTCCGTCTCCGAGACTGGACCGCAGCTTGTCACGGGGCTCTTGGTTGGTTGGTTGGTTGGTTTGCTCCCAGCAGTCCATTCACAGGATAGCAGAGTGAGCCTTTAAAGACAAATCCTGTTAGGTCACTCTGCTGCCTAAAACTCTCTTTAAAGTCAAGTCAGGCGAGTTTTTGTTAGACTTTTCTTTAGCTGGCAGGGTGGCCGCAGGCGATGATTGGGATTAAAAATGAATATTGGTCACTCTTCCTTTCCTCTTTCCTCTGCTCATTTCTTGTCCAGCTTTTGTTTTTCCAGGTGAATTAGGTAATGTAAAGAAGTGTGGTAACTGATTAGTTTATGGATGTGAGTCATGAGAAGTTTCCGAAAAACAACAGAAAAAATGGAAAGGACGAGATATCAGATGGCCATATACAATGGATTCCCCCAGAAGGCGCAGCGCAGGTTTAGGGAAGTGGTGCGCGAGGCGTGGAGTGGTTGGGAAGGCTGCGGGCTGCGAGCGGCGAGCCGGCCGGGTGCGCTGGCTGCCGGGACAGGCGGGCGCGGGACGGAAAGCGCGGGTGGCGGGGGTGCGGCCGGCGCCGCGCAGAGGATTGTAACCAGCGCGGGACGTGCGCAGGGAGGGCTTCTCGAGGGCTGTCGGTGCCCTAGCTGCTAAGGGGGAGAGTTCGGGCGTTTCTGCAGACAGTGATTCAAATTAGTATTTCATTTGACACATTTTCAGTGATTTGGAAATACTCACACCTTTGTTTCAGTTCTCTATGGCTGAGATGGACATTGTTGTCCTGTTATTTTTAATGTGTACCTTATAGATTTAAAAATACCAAATAAACGTTTTCTTCATTTCTTATATGAAGTCTTTGATGAATTCAAAAGATAATTCCACTTCAAGGCACCCCAGGGTTGGAGAAGGTAGGGCAGCGGGCAGTTAGCAAGGGTTTGTTACATTTTTAAACTTTCATGTTTCAAACGTAAGGGTGTTATTCATAGCATACTTTAATAATCTTTACGTAATGTTTCCTATGCAAATTATGAGAAAAATACTCATCTACCTTATGACCCAGGAAAATTCCACTCAGGTGTTTACCCAAAAGAAATGAAAACTTACGTTCACAAAAAAAGTCTATTCCTAAATTTTCACAGCGGCTTTATTCGCAATGTCCAAAAGCTAGAAACGGTCAAACGCGCATAGCAGAAGAATGAATAAACAAAATACTGTTCGGCTGTTAAAATAAGTGAACTACTGATAATGCAACAACAATGGAAGAGTCTCACCCAGACCCTGAGGGAAAGCGGCGGGCCCAGGAGCAGCGCGCCCCCTGCTGGCCGCGGTGCGAAGCTGGAGAGCCGGCGCCCTGCCCTGAGGGCGGGGGGCGGGACTCGGAGGGAGCACGGCGAGCCTTCGGAGCGGTGGGGACGCAACCGAGGGGGTGCCGCACTTAGGACCTCAGACTCGCACTGCACGCAAATCACACCTTGGTGGTTTTTTTTAAATACAGAGCAGGTACTCGAGAAACTAGAAGAGTCGGGGTTCCAGGTGACCAGTTGTGTTCACGGTTGTGAGAGAGCATTGCGTGACCTTAGCTTTGGTTGCTTAAGAACAGCTTCCTTAGTTGAAGTGCGGAAGTCTGTGGTCCCTCTCTGTAGAGGCGCCTGGTTCCAAGCACGCTGTACAAAAGACTTCTGGAAAGGTCTAGAGTTGAGATACGTGCTTGCAGGATGGCGCGTTCGGCCCCCTTTTGTCTCTGAGAAAAGAGATCAGACAGATTGGTCTGAGGCCTGGCTATAGGAAGAACTTAGTCGTGGTAACTCGGGAAGCCAGCCAGCGTTCGAGTCTGAAATCCTCTGTGGAAAAGCGGTGGCATGCGCCTCCCGCCGTGTTCGGGGAGGTGTACACCGTCAGTGTCATTGACAAAATAGGGCAAGAAGGCCGCCGCTGCTGCGTGAAGGCGTCTGCAGGGAGCGCCGCCGTCTCTGAGGCACAGGGCGCCCTGCTCTGAGCGAGCAGTGCCAGGAGAGGGGGATCAGGGGGACGCTGGCTCTGGGGTGAGACCCAGGTTCACGGCCGAGCTCTGCCGGCTGAATGCGGTGCTCTGCCAGCGAGGGTCCGCGCAGCCCGCCGCCCCGTGATCCGGAGCAGTGCGCGCTCCAGTGACCTCCGTAAGGCTGCCCCGCCCAGTGACAGCTGTGCTTGCTGCTCTGGCCAGCGCTCGCTCGGGGGTCTCTGCTGATGCCACACGTCTGTTACGCAGGTTCCTGCGCCCTGAGAAAAGCGCGCGCGCGCATGCCCTGGTGTGCACACACGTGTCCTCCGTCCTTGGCTCTGGCTCTCCCGGCGGACGCCTCCAGCACTAGCAGTAATTGGGTTTTCCGGAGCGGCGGCCCGCGGAAACCCGTGCTCGGGGCCTGTGTGAGGCGTTGTCACATCGCCGGTTTGCCTTGATCTCTTCCTCTTAATTTGCTGACATTTTTAAACGTGAACTACTTTGCGGCTGTGGAAGGTGACCTTAGTATAGCTATTGCTTTCCTCTGACTTACACAAAGTAGAATTTATATACTTCATGTGGTACTCCAATATGTAGTGGGATTCATATTTGAAATGACATGATTAATTTTAATTTTTAGTGTAAGTTTTCAGTGACCAAGTTTAAGGAGTTTTATTATAATGGATTTTCAGTCTGTTCTTCCCTTCTAGTAATATTGCATACTTGTTTTTGTATTTAACAGTTAATTGCTGGTCTTTCAAAGAAACCATGTTGCTTCGGGGGGTTTTTTCCACCTGCATAAATTCATGGGAATCGGGCAGTAGTAATTTAGAAGCAGGAAACTCTCTTCTCTGTTCTCCGCTGCCAAGCAGGTTCTGGAAAGGTGACAGCGGGGCATTAAACATTGGCCTAAGGTGTTTTCAGTAATCTTTTTCTTAAATTTCTTTGTCTTGTTTTAAAACCTCCCTGTCCTGTTTACTACGAATCATAGTACCAGTTCTGTTTACCACACATCACAGTCCTCCGTTTTCTGCTGTAGTGCCAAGGTCAGCGACTCCGTGTCGTCCACAGCTGTTACCGACAAGGAGGGCTCTCCTACCCAGTGCTGCTCCTTCCTTGATTGTAAGGACCAAAATCACATCAGAGCAGTGTGTGATCAGTTGCTCTGTGCAGATAAGTTTATCCTGTAGGATTTATGTATTTGAGACTGGGGGATACAATTAAAGATTTCACATACCAATCATTTAAAATATAAGTTCCAGCAAATAACTCGGAGGGGTGGAGGTGGATGGGGAGATAGGCAATTATAAATAGTCTCTATTCTCAAGGAGCTTATTTTGGTAACAATGATGTACAACACACTATAATTCAAAGCAGAAGCAATACCGTCTAGGGATGGCCCTTTGAGAAGGTATCATTCAGGTTGAAGTTTGCAGGATCAAATGGGATTTGGAAAGTGGCTGGTAGAGTGCGGAGGAGCACTCCAGGCAGCGGGTGCGAAATATGCGCAGAAAGGAAGAGCAGCGGGGTTTGGTTTGATTTATAACAAGATGTAAGAAAAAAAGTAGTAGAAGATTAACAAGTTTAACTTGAGAACATAGTTTGGGGCCAGATCAAGAGTAGCTTAAATGGTTTATACTTTCAGATAGTAAGAAACTGCAAAGGGTTTTGAGATGGTTAAGTAGCATTAAGATGAAGGTTGCAGTTTGGGTAAGTAATCAGGCCCTGGTGAGTAGATTGATTGGTGAATAGACATCGTTACCAGTTTTGCAGCAGTTTTGATGGTAGCCCAATAATGACTAAGACAAGGGCGCCATCAGTAACTGGAAAGTTGGTGTGAGTCCAAGGTAAATAGGGAGGATCAACATTCTGATAATCAGAGGCAGCCCTGGGTGGTTACGCCTGTTGTCATAGCAGGGTGATTAAGAGTGCCCCTGTTTGCTTTCAGATATTTAATGGTTTGGACAGTACACCACATGGTGACGCTAAAGATAGGTTTGCTTTGGAATTGATAGCACTTTCTAATTTAAGAGAGAGAGGCATGTTGGCGGAAGATACACAAATTTTAGAAACTTTTATGACTTTATTAAGTTTTCCTTTTGAGAATTAAATATTCTCTTACCTGGATATCACAATCAAATTGTGTATGTTTAAAATCCCTGCTTTTGCTTTCCGTCTTTTAATGAATACATTTGAGCTTTGGAATCTTCAAAATGATAGATACTAAAGAGAACATACTATTATCACTCTCGCCTAACATTTCATTCATTCCGTGTAAAAGCAAAGCCTTTTAGGAAAACTTTAATCAATCAGTGTAGCTTACATTAAAAGATTCCATATAGAAATGCCACAAGCGGCAGCCGAGTGTCCTGTGTCAGTGAGAGAACAGGCTGCAGCGTGTCAGAGCCCCCGGTCCCCAGATCTTCTTGCCTGGCTGCGACAGGTGGTGGTGGTCACGGAGCACCTGTTCCGAGGCCCTCCCGCGGGTGCGGCTGTGGTGCTCTGGCCGTGGTCCCCAGTGCTCACCGCTCTTGTGGTTCCCTTGTCCAGGCGGAGGGAGAAGACAGCCTGAAGAAGATGCAGCTGATGGAGCTGGCGATCCTGAACGGCACCTACAGAGATGCCAACATCAAATCACGTAAGAGTGAGACTGGGGCTGGGCTGGCAGCCGTCTCAGCTGTTTGCCCACATACCTTTCTCTTTTTGGTGGCACAGCACGTGAGCGGTTAAACAAAATGAAGGGTGAAAACAATTGTCACTTGATACGGGACCAGCGGTCCCATCCATGTTTACTGCTTTCATGAATGGTGGATGCTCTTCCTGTTTTTACTGCATTCCAGCATGTTTTTTAAGTTTTGGGGTTATAAACTGTTGTTTTTTGTTTTTTGGTTTGTTTTTTTTTTAATGAAATTTCAGCTTCTAAATTCAAGAGTTTAATGAAATTTCCTATTCTGTTAACTACAGATTTAAAGCTTCTAGCTTATTTTGTTACATTCATGAAAAGGACAAAAAAAAAGTCAAAACTTTTAGAGCTAATTTAGAATGTATTTAAATTCAGTGATCTTTCTTTTGAATTCTGTCCTTTCAACTTTCTTGCATGTTTTCCCTCCAGTATTTTTTTCTCTGATGATTTTATATGTGAGTTCACAGAGAACAGTAGGTGATAACTATTTTAATCTGGTTTTTTCCTTTATTTGTGTTTGTGTATGCTTTCACAAGTTACAAGAGGATTGCTTTTTTTTAAATATATATTTAAAATGAAATAATGTGAAATTTATATTTCGGGAAAATCCAAGGTTAAGTTACTAATTTTTTAAAGAAATTGAAGTTTAAAAAGTTCTAGGCAATTTTCCAAAATGTAGACAACTTGTTGGGTTTAGAAGAGGTTACTTTACAAATGGTTGGCTTCAGCTTCCTCAGGAGAACGAGTATGTCATTAACACCCTGTGTTGAGGGACGGGGCATTCATCATGGCGGGTGGGGAGGCAAAAGCGGTTTGCAGTTGTGAGCCTGCAAAGCGGTTTCGTCCCGCGTCTCGTTTGCTCACTACTGTAGTGTTTTCTGTGCGAACGACTGCAGACCTGCTTTTGCCCCGCCTTGTATTGTTGTTGTATAAAAAATTTGTTCCTACATATGCAGAAAATTTATATGTAAATAGTAGTTAGTTGGATTACTTAATATAATAAAAATTATGCTTTCTTTAATTTGAAACTGAATCTACTCTATTAGAAATATACCAAAACTGTTTCTGTGGACTCCAATCGCAAAATATTTTTTAAAATATCTTTTAATGCGAGTGTTTTTCTTGTGCTTCTGCATGTACCTTTAGCCTTGTGAGATCTTAAAAACATAGATATATCAACTATATGAACTAAATATAACCTATTAATGGTCGCGATTTTTTTTTACAGTGGCTTTTTAATTTTTGCACATTTATTCTTAATCATGTTGGGAAAGGGGAAGCCGTTGCGTTTGATTGGTGTGCTTTGGCATTGCTGTGTGATCAGCGCATGTACTAATGATTTCCTTTTATTTTTCTCCTTTCCTGCTTTCTTCTTTCCCTTTCCTACTCCCTCTCACTTTCTGTGTTTGCACTGCTCTCTCTGCACTTCCTTCTGGATTTCCTTGCTTACTGTAGCGGCCCTTGCCTTTTCTCTTGCAGCGACGGCCCAGGCCGCCCCCAGGATTATTACCGGGCCTGCGCCTGTTCTCCCCCCGGCTGCCCTGCGCACCCCGACGCCGGCCGGCCCCACCATAATGCCTTTGATCAGACAGATACAGACCGCGGTCATGCCAAACGGAACTCCTCACCCCACGGCTGCAATAGTTCCTCCCGGGCCCGAAGCTGGTTTAATCTACACCCCCTATGAATACCCCTACACGTTGGCACCAGCTACGTCAATCCTTGAGTATCCCATTGAACCTAGTGGTGTATTAGGTAAGTTGTTTTTCTCTGTATGGTAAACATTGTTCTTCTAAACGTTTGCCCCAGACTTTGAAATCATTACGTCAGTTTTAGAGAGGAAAGTTTCCACTAGGAAAGACTGAAGACTAAATTTTGTTTTATTTCAGCCCCTCCTAAGGGTTCCCCTTTTAAATAATTGCATCTAAGATTTGCTCAGATTTGCTTTGGTAACTCAGATTCACTTCAGATGGGTAAATTTAAACATTTCAAACAGGACATACTTGTCACATTTGACGTCACTGAAGTCCTCCTGAGTTTCAGATCCTCCCCCGGCATATTCCCTCCTTCAGTTTTACCACAGAGTCAGATTCGTTTCACCTCAGAGATTTATTTAATTGTTGGCTAAATTTTAATTTTCTATGTGAAAATATTTTGAGATTTTTAAAAGTGCTGTAATTGTGTGTGCTTCCTAATATTTACGATCACTTAAAATATGAAAGGGTCCTAGTCAGTAGCTGCATTCTTCAAGTTTTTTCATTTTTTCTCTTTTGATGTCCTGGTTAACATTAAACATAAGAGAAACTCCTAATTTCAGTAGCCTAGTATGGAATTGATGAGTAAAGATCAAGTCACTGAGGTAGATACGCTCCTAAGGCAAAATTAAGGTCATACTATAACCATTCAGTTTTACATGAGCAAAAAATGGTGTGCTTGAAAAAGACATTACCGATGCCTTTTTTTTATAGAGTGGATTGAAATGCCAGTCATGCCTGATATTTCAGCCCATTGACTTGCTGGATGAAGGACTAGAATGCAGCAGCCGCTGTAACACGACCAGTCAGTGTGGGACAGGCCGCGTCCACGCTGCCCTTGTTTTACCAGACAGAATTTGAATACTTTTTTCCTTGAATTGTATATGACCTTGGTGCTGCATGCATGCTGTTCACTTTTAGGACTTGGATCTTTTAAGGTTTTTTTTTTTTTTTCCAGCATTAACATTGATTTATCAAAATTTGAAAGCCTTTAATGAACCCGGACAAAGATTTAAACTTGAAAATTCATGTTCAATTAAAGAAAACCACGATGCTCTGTATGTTATCTGTGTGTGTGCATGCACTCAGGTGCCTCTTGTTTCATGAGCAAATACATCTTATTGTACATGTTTTCGGTTATCTCTAAATCATTGTAAAAAGTATTCCAGGTCAGAGTTACACCATAGAGCTGTTGATGAGATTCTTGTTTCTGTTGCACATTTCTTGAAGCATTTTTAAAATAACCTGTAACATGTAACCTGTTTACGTTTTCCCTCCTGTTAACGCTCTGTCCTGTGGCCCTGCCTGCTCCTTCCCCCCGGAGCCCCTCCCTGCTGCACGCACAGCGTCTGCTGGAGGAGGGGCTCCGGCCCCCGCCGCGCGGAGCTCCCTAGTCTTGCCTCGTGGGATCAGACTTGTCTGAGATTAGCTTCCCTGGAATAGAAGAGGAGGGAGGGACCCCTTTACTGCTTAGAAACAGCAAGGGGCACTGCAGAATCTGTTTCTCACTTCAAAGCAATGTGTTCTTGGCTATGTTGGGAAATTGGTATTTATAATAATTGTTAGACTGACAAAAGCAGAACATACAGATATCTAATTGGCATTCATAAGATGAATGATAATGAGTATTAAATGACAGAAGTCCATTATGATCAATTTTATTTCTTGCTTTGCTACCTAAGCAGTAAAAGGTGATATATTGATTGACCACTTGGAGAATTGAGAAAATTATTTCAAATTGCTAAGTTATAGTAAATTTGCACACAGATAACATGCATGCTATTATATATCAAGTCTCACATTATATTTTAAAATAAGCCGTGCCCTTCAAAACAGATGCAGACATGTGTGTTGGTGGTAGTGAGGAGATTGGTAATAGCATCAAATCTTCATCGGTGACTAATTTTTAATTCCCTTCCTTTTATCTTTAGGTATGGCTTTCCCAACGAAAGGCTAAGAATTCAAGAACGGTCTTAACTGAACCCTCATCAGATCTGAATTTAACAAATGCTTAGTCTCAGCAGCCTCCGGGGGCGGGGAGGGAAGCTTAGCCTAGCAGTCAGTGACTTACTTGCACTTTTTGCACACTGATAGGAAGTAAAAGTATGTTATTAATTTGGTTTAGTCTATAATCTTACAAAGTAACGGTAATTTATAAAGGAGTGTATAGTAGTATACTGACTGCTAAGTGTACTATACTGTTTGCTTTACTAATCACCTAATTCATTGCAGTTCATACTTATTGACTCAAAGTTAAAAACCACAATCTGTAGGCTTTAAGAATTGCTCATAAACCTTTTTAAGTGATAAACTCTGGAAGAGGTCTTAAGGTTAGCAAGTCATTGTCAGTATTAAACATGGCATTATTTTAAGTAGTCCTGCTGCAAGAAAGGCACTTCAGTGAATATGTGACTAGTAAAGCGTGAATGTTTGGATCTAATAGAGTTCATGAAATACTGTATCTTGGGATTGTAAATTAATGGATAAATAGGTTAAGGCCAAGATGTTTGAAATGAATGCAATATTAATAGACGCATATATACGCAACATATTATGGTTAATTTTAAAACTACTGTGCCTTAACATGTTTCTTAAAACAAAATTTTTGTAGTAAATGAACATTTGAACTCCATTTTGATAAACCTGCTGTTAATGTTTGTTTTTTCCCCCTTGTGAATGTTTTCTAACTTTGTCTTGGTAATTGCAATTTAACTAGGTGCGGTGGCTACTAAAGTTCGAAGGCACGATATGCGCGTCCATCCTTACCAAAGGATTGTGACCGCAGACCGAGGTTAGTGTAGTTCTGCAGTTCTTGCTCATGAGAAACGCGTTGGGCGTCTGTACAGTTTGCAACACCACACCTGATGGGAAAATTACAGCTGTTTACCTGCACAGCATTTCTTTTACCTTTTCTAAATTAATTTATAATAATTGACGGATTTAAGGGGTGGGCTTTTGGGGGTGGATTTTTGTGTTTTTTTCCCCTCCCTTCATATTTTAACTTATTAAATCCTATTAGTACATACTATGATTTATTCCTACTAAAACATAAATTAGTCCACTTGGGGAGCTATTAATTTTTGTTTTTGCCTTAATTATTTCTCAGTAATAATTTTTGCTAAAAGTTATCTTTTAATTGTTCTGACACTTTGGGTTGGTTTTGCAAAATGAACTGAGCGGATGGTGCTTTAATGAGAGAAGTAAAGGAATATATGCCTCCTGTGTTCTTTGGAGAAAACTGAAGATTTATTTTCCTATTTTCTTTTTTAATAAGTATGATATTTGAGCCACTGTACAAACATGAGGTTATACATGTCAAGTTCTTAGCTGAAATCAGCAAAGTAAGGACTGTGAAGAGAACTTCGATGCAGTTGGATCTTTTTATGAGTCAGAAAATCAATTCCCTTTTATTCTTATATTTTCTTCCAAAATGGATCCTTTGATTTTTGTCATTTGCTGCTAAAATATGTTTTCTAAAGGTAAACTATCTTTGGAAGTTCCGTGGTGACACAAATCCAGCTGTTTGAGTATCTTTTTGACTAACCTGTGACTGGAAATAAGTCTTCATTTTTCTCCTCTTCAGCATTTGTAATTTGTGTCCTATATATTCCCTTGGACCCTTTTATAAATTATTTATGTTTATTGAGGAGTGATATTTTCGGTTTATTGACATTGAATTCTTTTTCTGAGTTTGAAATCATAAGATAGGAATCCAAAGCAAGGTAGAAGAGAATTTTTATAAGCTTTTTTTTTTTTATGGCACATTTATTACCTACCAGTTTAGTTGATCTAACTATCTACTATCAGTTTGGGAAAGTGATGGATTGAAACTCAACTCTGCATCTCTTAAGAGCTTGTGAGAGACCTGTGTGTGCTCTGCGCAGGGACCTTGAGGACTGATGGTAAATACTGGGCACAACTGTTGTCCCTGTCAGAATCAAATACGTCCCCAGAGGTAGCGATGGTATTTATTTAGCATACTAGAGAATTAAACAGCATCGAAGGTTTTTAACTAATGCATTATTGGTAGTGATTTAATGAACAAAATAAAAAGACCCGCAAGCTCAGTGACTGGCTGTGAGGATAATGCTCCTTGTGCGCGTGCCCTGTGCAGTGCGCGTGCCCTGTGCAGTGCGCACAGCGCCCTGCTCGCGCCGGAGCGCGTCTCCCCGCAGAGGAGGGAGTTTTTTTTAACAGGGGAGAAAAATCATGTAGATTTTAAGAATCCAAATAGTTCCGTGAATGATACAAAGCTTTTTTCCATAGTTATTGCCTAAAATAGTCAGGGGTATTTTGAAGCCGTTTTTTCTTCTGTCGTCCTTTCCCCGTATGCCCCTTCTTGGTTTTCCATCGTTTTGTTTTAACAGTAGTTATTGGCCTACTCCACAACCCAGTGCCTTGAGATAGTTGAAAATACCAGGAAGATGTATTGTATTTCAGAGTAAGAACACACTCCATGCATGGCTCTTTTTGTAGTTATATGTGTTTTGATTAGTCCTGTCACTGTTTTTATTCAAAATGCAATGTCAGCAAACCGAAATGCTACTTTTTTTTTCTCTAAATAACAGAACACTTTGTATACTGCTGTTACTGTCACTGTATGCACTCACTGGGTCTAAGGGAGATGTCTGAAGTCCTTCACTTAAATTATTTTATGATACTACTGTTTTCTCTATTTTTGAGGTTTTTTTATTATTTTTTTAATCTTTTGAGGGGATGATTAATATAAGCATTTTAATGCAAGGAAACTCAGCCCCTGGACCTATAACCATGTAATTCTATATGAGCATTTAGAGTATGGCATGGTTGACAAATATCTAGTTCTTTACTAAAAATAAACCCACCTCTACGTATTTCAAAACTGAATTTGCAGCCTATGAAAGACCAACCGACTTTCTAGTCGAAATGAACCATGAGTTATTTTGCACGGCCGACACACCTGGGTGTGTGCTGTAGGAGGCCAGGACTTGGCAGAGGACGTGTCCTTGGTGCGCTGTGTTTGTGAGATGGCAGTGTGCTTTTCCTGTGGGTTCCACACTCAAAACCGTGAGGGTTTTTCTGGATAATGATTTTACAGAAACCGTTATTTATACAATTTGTGTAAGAAACTTAATACAATTTTAATCAAAATTACAGTTAATATAAAAAATGCTTTAAGATTCTGTATTTCTGGAGTACCTATGAAATGGTATGACTACATCATGTGAAATATTTATTTTCTTCTTTGATTATGGAATAGCCGTTTCTATCTTAAGTAAAATTCCACTATTTTTAAGAAATTCAGGGACGATTTGGTCACACTAAAGATACAGTATTTTTGTAGTATTTTTACACTATTCTAAATGATAGGCTATAGAAAGCATTTCTGTTACATGAGGGTAAACCAGTCGACTACACAGGTCATTTAACTCTGAACGTTGGACCTGCTGGGTTTTGATTTGCCAGGTGGCACAGAATCTACCTTTGCACTGAAGTGTCTCACATCTCCTCTGCCATAGTCACAGTGGCCACAGCACAGGAAATCCTAGCAAACCTCAGAATATAGTAGAATTAATTAAGCTGTTGAATGAGTCTTAAAAATCATACTACTGTTAAGTGGACCAAGTTTGGTGAAGCAGAACGTGACAGAGGTTGATTAAGGAAGGAACAACTCAAGGACATTGGGGACGATAACTTTTCCACTTGAGAACTACTTTATGTTTTACTGTAATTTTTTAAATTTTTTTGTTCTGTTTGTTATTTTGCAAAAGAAAATAGTATTTACAGGTGGCTTCTTTTAAAATATATAAAGCAGGAATGTATATGAAATGTCAGATTTTATTGTATTTGCAGAGAATTAGCTTTGAAGTTGAATAAAGAAAGCTGTTTGTAGTTTTAAAATGCCTTATTGGTATCAATTAGAAATTTCTTCTATTTTTTGATGTACTTAGAGCTTTTGAGTATAGAATTTTAAATGGCAGGATTTTACAGTGTTTACATGCAAGTGCATTTTATAAGTGTTCTATATGTGTAAAATAGTATTTCCAACTGGAAAGTGTTGGCCAGCACACAAGGGCCTGGCCTTTTCTGGTTCCCATGACGTCGCCTGCACGGTCAGACGGCAGGTCAGTGTCGCTCTGTATCATGAGGCCAAGACACCCGTGTTGTTTGTAAATAGAACATTGGAAAAGCAATAAACATTTATTGAACAAAAGAAACCTTGTTTGGCCCAGAGTTTATGTCGAACCAAATTGTTGATACAAATTTAAATTTCTTTAGATTCATTTCTGTTAATCATCAGTTATTAATAATCACATCCATCATTAATAGTTGCTTTAATGCTTGCATCTGAGAGAATACTAATGCTTAATAGCAGTCAGATCCTGATAACTGCACTGACTGTTTGAAAATTCTGTATACCGACCCTAGTCATTGTCGTCGTTCTCCAGTTTCCTCCATTGAGCTACTAACTGTTAGTTGTTAGTTATATTTTATTTCTATTTTTTCCTGTTAACCGGTTGTTTTTTCTTTTTGTTTTCTTATTTTTATTTTTATTTTTTGTGGGAGAGGGCTCTCCTTCATATGTTCAAATCATGATATGAAATTGTCATGATTTTTATTGTATTTTGTAGATGGTGTCAATCAGTTTGTCAGAATTACACATGCTTTTTTTTTTTTTATTAGTTGTGATTAGTTTTTCATGTTGTCATTAAGCCGTCACTAGCTGAAACTAATCTCTTCTCTATCTTTTCTTTTCTTTTTTTTTTGTTTTGTTTTTTGTTTCTAACCACCCAGCCGCCACCGGCAACTAACCTATGACCTTCTGACCTCTGAACTCTTCACCCAATGATGACCTGACCATGCCTGCCTGCTGATCAGTTAACTGGTAATCGCCTTTGCTTGCCTGTCGTCAGTGCAGCGAGCTGAGGCACTTGTCCGTTCGTCTTACCATCTAACCAAACAAAAGACAAAGAAATTGGTGTCCTCCAACTCAGCTTTTGTTTTGTTTTGTTCTGTTTTTCCTGTTTGGGTGAAAATGGTTCTAGAACCTGCACTGAATAGTAGTAAAGCAATAAGGCCCAACCCATGCCACAGCACTGATCACCTTTCAATGTCCCGCCCCAAGCGAACGGTAAGAAGGCCTCACTGCAGGAGGGGAGACAGGTGGCCCTGGACTGCTCGGGGACAGGCAGTTACTGTGAGAGACTTCCTAGGGACCCTCCCTCCTCATGGCGAGTCCAGGCTCTGAATGTACTGTGCGGTGATGCATCATGCATGAACCTTTGGTCAGGGATGTCGCTGGTGAAGGGGTTTCAAAAGTATTCAGAATTTGATGCGCTGTCCCGTCACCGCGGCGCCCTCGCAGGGTGGCCGTGGCGGCCTTTTCGGTGTTGCCTGCCAACATTTGAAGTATCGGAAGTGTGTGCCATGAGAGAAAAGCTTAAGGAATTTCGAAAAGTAGTACAAAGAACAAAACTGCAACACTATTTTTAAAAAGATAAATATCTGAGTTAAAATTACTAAACCTTTATTTTACAGCTCCTTAAAAATATACGAGAACAAGGTACATGCATTATGTGTCACATTACTGGGCAAACTGTTCAAATATTTTTTTTAAACCTCCCTGTATAGAAAAAATCATTAAGGATGTAAAAGCCATGCTTGCCTCTTTGCTGTATACATGTAATGAAATTGTAGATAAAGTGTAGTGCATTGAAACAATGAACAAAAAGTAGATACTTTTACTATACAAGGGTGCTGGTGCAGAAAAAATATATATATTTTTGGAAATGTAGCATTTTATACTTTCAAGTGTTATAAAAAAAAAGAAAAAGAACAAAGAAACCCTTTATTTCATTAAATGATTTTTTCTGGTGGTTGTCAAGAAACAAAAGACCAAAAGAGCCTTTTTGTCTTTCTTTTTTATTTTTTAAGTATTGGAATAAGTCTAAAGAAAAGGAAGTGCCTTATTTTTCTTCATGGTCATTCAGTCAAGTGTCTCGTAAGATCAGCTCCTCCCTCAGAATACAAGTTACTGCATGTTACTCGGCCGCCCAGTATGTGAGAGCAAATAGGAGGGAGAGAAATGAGTTGGTTTGAATTATATATTTTTTTGCCACGTTACCTTGATACAAATTTGCCAAATCTGATACTGTGAAAAAATTTGATAATTTTTCTATTGCCTGACACATGTTTTAAAACATCATTCTTTTAAAATCGTAATTGATTGCTTTTGATTATTGCAATATTTAATGTTACCCCAAAGGACTCTGAGATAAAAATTATGTGTGATTTGAACATCAGTTTACAGACAAAATTAGAGCTTTATTTTATTCAGATACTAGGGTGTATGTTGAATATCTTATTATTTGAACATTAATATTATACTTAGCAAACGTCTTCACAAAAAGTAGTCTTCTTGATTTCATTCTGGAAAACAGTGTTGTTGAAACGGCCCGGACTTTGATTTAATCAGACTTCTTCCTGCCTACCAGGTCACGTGGGTGGTCCACCCCCCTTGCTAATTTTACTTACGTAGGCTGCCCCCCCCCGCCCCCACACACATTTTTTTAAAACTTTAAAAGAATGTGAAAAACTAGCTTCGGTGTGCATGTAAATACTCAACTACACATGAGTTGAAGCTTCAGTCTCTCACGAAGCTCAGTTAGCTGTAGTTGAAGTGATGTGTGCACAGAGCCTGCGTCTCTCTAAACACTTAGTGATCATCGGCTGCTCAGTACCAGACGTGGCAAATATCAAGGGCAGTGGGTCCCCAGCTCCTCAGCTCGTTCCCTCGAACATACCTGCACAGTCAGACGTGAGCAGTGAGCTCAGCTCAGCAAGCACCTTCGCGGGGACCTCCTCCGTCACCGGTCTCGCTCGGAAACGTTTTCAGTTCATTTACTATGCAATAGACATGCGTTGTTTTGTAGCAGCCAGCTTTGGTTTAACGTGCCGCTGCTTTGTCTTTCTGTTACACATACAGCCGTTTTGATTTATTTACAATATATGCTGTGCCATTTTGATTTTTTTTTTTTTTTGTTTGGTTGATTGAATAAATTTGCGACACTCAAACACTTGAGGTGATAGTAGTTTAAAAACAATACCAGTATTTGATCCAGTTTCATCTCAACTGTGTTATACCTGGACATTTTAGATATTTATCCAAGGTCTTTTATGGGGAAGAAAGTAAATGTATGAAACAGAGGCGTGACACTTACGAGTGATGTTGGTTGGCTCTGAGCAAACTTTTGAAAACTTAGTTGAAACAATTTTGGATCAACTGAAAATAAGCATGACTTTTGAAATCTCTGAATGCCTTGGTTCTCAGTATTATCATTCTTTATTGAATTTATTTCTTATTAAAATATGTAGTTTTTAAGACTTTTTTTGACAGTATTATGTAATTTTCTAGCGTGGGTAGATGGGAGTGTCGCTTGTATGTTACCGTACAGCTGACATGTATTTTGTCTATTCTTTATTATCTTAGTAGTTTCATGCTATGTATGTACCATAACCAACCTATTGCCTATGAGAAACATGTAAGATAATGTATTTACAGCCATTGTTACAAGTTTATAATGTATTTTTCTATCTTGTTTTATATGTATGTTATATAACATTCAAAAAGAATTTTTTTCTTGATTGAGAAAAGGATACAAAATGCAAAATCCACAATTTTGATAACTGAAAATTGCCAATTGTTTTGCAGTACTTTATTATATTGGGTGTCTTGTCTTTCTTGGGCTTTTTAGTTAGCTAATGAATGAATACATTAGATATTTTTGGGTTTTAGTTGGGATTTTACATAGCTTGCATTTTAATTCTTTGGTTCTTTGCTGTTTCTATTAACCCATGGCATTATTTTAATAAATGTTATAATACCAACCTACTAACTCTGGACTATGTCTGTTTATTAACCTTTACGTGTTTAATTAAAACAAACAGAGAAAGACAAAAGAATGTAAAGTCTTCAGTTACTGGACTAACCCTGAGGAACGTGACCACAGATAACATAGCGTGACTTGTTTTTATGTTGTGTGTCAGCTGACAGTGCCCACACTACTGTGACAGTGGCTTTGTTTATTCTGTCACTTTGAGGGGGGAGGTGCCTGTAGAGATGGGAACAAAGTAGCTGTGGTGTGAGGGGTCTCCTTCTAGTCTTGCCACTTGCCTTTCAACCTCTGCGTTACTAATTCCACACTTTCTTATTTTTCCTTCTCCAAAATAATCCCTGTCCGCTCACAGCATTAAGAGTGAAGAGATTCATTGTCATGATGCACCCCAAGACCCAGGTTGATTCTTTGTTGAACCATTTCTTTTCATTTCGGTAAGTTAGGTAACGTTAGAGGCGTTACGTGGTAAAGCAAAGAGTCAGCTGATTTCTTTTGTCGTTTTAATCGGACAGCCTCCCTTCATAAACTGGCAGCCTGCTTCAGCCTGCTGCTCCTGTTGGGGGCGCAGCGCAGGTCAAGGCAGGGGGCTCTGACTCTCAGAGCCGCGCAGAGTCAGTCTCAAGGACCGCCCCGCAGCCCCCAGCCGGCCGCAGGCGGCGGCGAGCGGCGCTCAGGCGTGCCCTCCCCTGCGGCGCAGGCAGCGTGCAAGTCAATTGGAGATTTATTAAATATTGTCATGCTTTTCTTGGCTGCAGCCTAGGTAAAGTGGCCCCTGCTTAGGAATTCTTTAGTTTAATTCTTGAAGTGCATTTTTTTATTTCACAGGTATTGCCAATTTCCTTTTCTGAGAAACAGATCTGGGTAATAAAAAATTCTTAGGATGAATTTTTGCATGCATAAACACTGGCTTATTTTTATAAATTACATTGTATTTATTTTAAAGTCTAAATTTGGGGGCTTAAAGGAGTCACATGTTACAGAAGACAAAACTATACCAATGTGCTTTAAACTAATCAGACTGTCAGAGTATTCTCATTTTATATTTATTCCCATGATATGTATGCATATATGTAAGACACAGGATAGTGATAAGAACCGATTTAATCATAACTGAGATGGTCATTTGGGTTAGATGAGTGCAGTGGTCCCTCTGATTGGGGGGCGGGCTGTTACTGCTAGGTAGCCAGGGCTTTAACCTGCGACTGAGAGCTGTTGTCGCCGTGCAGTTCCCATGTTAATAGGAATTTGCAGGTGTCTGCCAAGCTGCTAATACACAAGGGGTCCGGGTCCCACGCCACTGAAACTGATGGATTTCTATGCAGTTTACTGCACATTCTCTGAAGTCTATGAATGCAGGCTCATCTCACTCTCACGTAAGGTACTGTGTGTATAACCACATCATATCATCACCTGTTACATTGGAAAGGTTGCACAAAGCTGATTTTAAAAGGTGAAAAAAAGCATTACAAATTTCACTTTTATCCAGGCTGTAATAACATTAAACATGAAACTACTGAACTCTTAGAATGAAAAAATGCGAATCAGTTTATTGTTTTTTTACTATTTGATGGAACAATTGAAACTTAAAGCTTTCAGTTGTCAAGAAGCTGGTGAAATGAATGTACCCAGTAGGTAAGCATTTTTTCTTAGGCAAAAACGTCAGGATAAATGTAGCCAGAGAGCAGATACGCGCATGCCCAGTGCAGTTGCTTGCGTAGGCTGAGCCCGCTCGGCCGGCCGCTGGGGGGTGGGTGCGCCTGAAGCCCCCAGCCTGCCCTGAAGCCGCGCTGTGCGTGTGTGCGCACAGAGCTGGGAGGGGTCAGGCTTCTGAGGAAGCGCTCTGCAGTTCCTAGGGCACCGTAATGGGTTTCAGTGAAAAGGCTCATTACCACATCAAGAACCGTCTTCACTAGCAGAGCTTACAGCTTTACAGGAGAGTCTACACTTTCTCCAGGTTTCTTCTGGGGTGGGGGCGGGTGTTGCTTGTGTGTGCTATCCGTCTGTATTCCTTGATAACAATTAGAGTATTTACAGCAAGTGAATTTTTAGTAAAATGGAAAGGTTTTGCTAAATTAGCTATAATAGCGAAAAAACTAAGAAAGCTTTGGATTTACAAACTTTCTAAGTAGTTCAAAAGGTAATTTTTTTAACGTAGTCAAGTTTCTTAATACCTTTATTTAAAATGGAAAAGTAATTGATTTTATTTAGAACAGTCAGAATATACTCGTAATATTTGTGGTTTCTTTAATATGAAATGTAAATCAGAATGCTTTTGTTATGAATACCTGGTCCTCAATGTTGAATCAAACTGGTTCGCCCAAGCCTCGCGCGCTCCTTGCTGTGTTTCTGCTGCACTCACCGCGAGGGCTGGGAGAGGCAGCAGCGCGGGCGGCCGAGCTGGCTCCCCGCAGACGGGATGGGGAGTACAGCCAGCAGCGACATTGATTTTGCGTTGCTCACAACTGTGCTGCTCTCCTTTCTTACCAAAAGGCGCCACCGCATTGTGGAGAAAAGCTCAGCTTCCAGGATAAAAAAGTTAATTTGTCTTTTTTAACATGCTATTATTGAAGTTTTGATTACCAAATACATCTTTTTGTGGTTTGTATTGTAGTGGTGTGTGTAAGACATGTAGAATTGTACTTGTGGAAATTGTACATATGGAGAAAAGTTGAAAGAGGGTCTTCCCCATGATGTGGGTGGAGAACCAGGTCTGCCTGTACATGAACGAGTGCAATAAACCAACTGGAAAATGTGCCTCCTCCAGCCGCTTGAGCTGGATGCTGCCTGTGCCCCGCCCTCCAAAAGCTTGTGTGTAAATAAAAAACGTACATTGTCGATTTCTAATTTTTATTGATGCTTTTACTACTTAAAGTACGAGAACCTGACATTCTGGAGCTCTAACGTTGCTCAACTGGAAGGTGATCATAATGCTTCCCCTGCTTAGAGCAAGTGAGAGGGAGTCGGACATACACAGTGTTCTCAACTGGATACGAATCCAAAAAAGCTGTCATTTCTGATTGGGAAACTCAGGTACAATTTGTATGGAGTTTTGAGATGTAAGAAAGAAGGAAAGGAATGCCAAGCAAGTCGTGATCTCTGCTACGTGAAAAGGTCTAGTGTCATCCGTTTCTTCAACAAAGGAGAATTGGTTTAAAAACAACACACAGTTGCCCGTGGTTTGAAACCTTCCCGCGAGGATTTCCTGTTGAGATCCCAGTCCCACGCCTCCGTGCACCGTAGCAGCCTGAGCTCTCGCCCAGAGGCTCGCGCGTTCTGCTCCTCCCTGAGTGCCCGCGGGGACCGCGTGCGCCTGGGCAGACCCTGCTCTTTCCACGCCCTTCTCCGAGCCCCAGACCAAGCGAGCGGCCCTGCACCAGGCGCGGTGAATGTCAACACACCCAGGGAGCCGGCGCCCGCCCTCCCGTGGTGCCCGCCAGACTTCGGTTTGGCTGTCCTTTCTAAGCCGGGCGCTGCCCGGCCGGTCCCTGCCGCCCCCATTACCACACCTGGGCTGTTGGTTTCCTGAACCCTGTCCCCGCGGCCTGTGCACCTGCCTGTCCTGGTACAGAGTGGGAACTGGCAATAAACACCTCGCTGGGGCTCAAAGGGCACAGTGTGAGACACAGTTCCGTGTTTTTCCTCCTGAAAAAGCAGAAGAATATGGCTTCTAAATAAAAACTATTAGTCAATCATGATTCGTACATACATTACTCTTTAATGAGGGAGAAATGTCCGTTGCATAAATACGCAATAAACTACGCTTAGGGTGGAGCGTGTGAAGGGAGTAATGGGAGCCTCACTCTTACCTCTATAGCTCCTACATTCAGAGAAGTACTGCTTCCAAGACAGGCGCGAGCAGGGCTGATTAAAAGGAAACACGGGGGAAGTGCAAATTTAGTATAAATAATACAAACTTGAAAATGGAGTTGGTTACTACATCAACTTCATTTTTTTTTTTTTTTTTGGTCATCCTCCTAGACCCAAAAGTGATGAAATCGACAGTACTGTGCGCGGTGAGTCCCGTGTGCATGTGTGAGCCAGCAGGCGGCTCGCGGGGAATTCCGTGAGGGCGTCGGTGAGCCGGCCTGCGCGGGCCCTCAGCGGGGGGTCGTGCCGTGAGTGCCAGGCGGTCGGCTCTCCTCGCTTCCCAGCTGAATTGCGGCCTATAATCCCCATGAAGATTTCATAGGAGGAACTAGAATTGTGCTAAAATACAGAAACACCGTGGGAAAAGTTGGGTGAGCTGCATATTAGAAAAGAACTGTGTCATATTGTATCCAATGGCTTTCAAAGTCAGGTGTTTGAAAACATACTAGGAAGTAGCCCATCAGGGATCATGTCTGTCTTGTACCAAGTGTTACTCAGAGCTTAACGGGATTGGACACGTGGTGGAAATCAGATGCAATAAAACCACTTCTCTGCATATGGAAATGCATCACCTTTGTTACCACGTATGGTAAAGCCATGCGGTAAATCGATGAATGCATTAGAACCAGAAACCAAGAGGGACACACAGACACACTGAACCATATCCTTCTCAAAATGCTCCCGCGTGGCCTGGGTAGGAGACTTCGCTGTCATTCTTGTTACGGACAACCCTCAGACACGTGGTCGAGGGAGACACAAAGGTAGGAAATTTTAACCAAAGACATCTTTCATTTCACGAGTAATTTTTAGCCTTTAAAATTTCCAAGTGTTTTACCATTGCCCTTCAGTTAATGTCCAAGCACAGCTCTAGGAAGTGTAAAGGTGTGACGCCCATGGAAGGCCATAAATTAAAAACAAGTGTATAATGTGTGTCTGTGTGTTTTTATTTTTTAGACCAACAGAGATTGCTTTCCACAGTTGCACTTAAGAACCTGATTTGCCAGAAGCATCTAAGTGTCTAAAAGCTTGGTATGTCATAAAGCAAAATGCAAACAGCCTGCTTCGTAGGAATTTCTGGGCTTTGTCAAAAGGTTTATGAAGTGTATGCCCACTGTCCAAATAAAGACTTCAATTCTACATAGACATTCCAATGTACCAAGTTAATCGGGAGTATGTGTGTTTACAGAGATAAGTTAGTATCTTTATGGAGGCTGCTTCATCATTTTTTTCCTGTGGTCCTTTCATTGTAGGAAATGTCACAAATTGTTTTCTTTTGGTTTGTTTACCACATTGGCAATTTTGGCAAAGTGTCTTTGTTTTCCTTCATTTTTAAAAGGCTTAGTTTGTTAGGGCAGATTTAGATTCACAGCAAAACTGAGCAGACAGTACAGAGATTTTTTTCACATACCTGCCGCCCCTTCCCATGCATAGTCCCCCGCCCCCTTTATCAGCAGACCGTACCAAAGGGACATGTTTTTTTTTACAACGGAAGAACCTCCACAGACACAGCGTCACCTAGAGTCCACAGTTTACATTAGAGTTCACCCTTGGCGGTGTCCGTCCTCTAGGTTTGGACAAAGGTTACAATGGCATGTACCCAGCATTACAGTATCACACAGAATAGTTCCGCTTCCCTCAAGAGGCTCTGCTCTGCCCACCCCTCCAGCGCCTCCCCAGATCCTGGCAGCCACAGGTCTTACTGTCTCTGGAGGTTTGCCTTCTCCAGAATGTCTCACAGGCGGGATCTTACAGTTTGTAGCTTAATCAGACCGGCTGCTGCTTCGTACCCTATATTACAGTACCCTCCATGTCTTGTCATGGATCGATGACTCATTCCTTCTTAGCACTGAATGGTATTCCTTTGTCGGGATGGACCACGGTTTATCTGATTTACCCACCAACGAACATCTTTGGTGGCTTCCCTGTTTCAGCACGTATGAAGGGAACCACTAGAAACACCCTTATGTGGGTTTTTGTGTGGACCTAGGTTTTCCATGTCTCTGTAAACACCAGACGATTACTGGATCGCAAGGTAACAGCATGTTTAGTTTTATAAGAAATTTCCAGGCTGCCTCCCAAAGTGGCCGTTCCATTTTGCTTTCAGAATATAATAGTATGATGATTAAGGGAAAATGAAAAACAGGCATTTCAAGACTAAACTGTCAGGTACGTTGTTCCGACAGACAAATCCAACTTGGAATTTATGTGGATGTATTAAAATTCCAAGTAGGAGTGAAAGAACTCCCGAAATTGCTAAGCCTTTTTATTCACACTGGAAGTGTTCACATGGTGAGGTGTCAGCCGAATACCACGCCTGGACTCTTTCTGGACAAAACAGCTCCTCGTCTAGGACCGGGGAAGACAATAAATGTAATATAAAAACACGTTCGTTATCCAGGCCCCATGCCTGTCCACGTCTAGTAAAGCTAGATTCTTGCAAAGAAGGCAGCTAAGGGTCTGTTTATAGTAAAGACAGCTAAATTTCAATAGAAAGTTTTGCTTCTCTGTGTAGCCATAGTTGAAGTAATCCCATCTCCTAAAAGCCTAATCCGTTAAATTACTGATTAAGAAAAATACCTTTTAGGAAGCCAGTCAGGTTTGGTTGTTCGGTCTTAGGGGTTAAGAGCCCCTTCATCCATCTGTCTTCATCTCCCGGATCGGGAAGGCGTTTCTCAGGCTCCGGCAGCTCAAACCTGGCCCCCTGCCCCCCACCCCATGCCCGGTCCAGGGGCCTCTTTTCTGCCCACAGCCAAGCCCTCGGGTGATGTAGCCCCACGCGGGGGCGGGGGTGCCCTCTGTAAAAATCCATCATTAATCTCAGGAATCTTTCATGTGCCCCTGGGAGGTAAACATTGCCGGACCTAATGACATTGAAATTAAACCCCTGTCCTTTCATCCTTTTGCCAAGGTCATTGTCTGAGAAGAGAAATTTTACCTAAAAATGGCAGCCTGGCATTTAATCATAGTCTATCCACTTACAGAAAAAGGTTATTCTTTCCTAAGATTGTCCTGATCTGCGCAGGCAGAGGTGAGTGGAAATGTATCAGGCGGGTCTGAGAGGCGCTGAGTACATTTTTCCTTCCCTTTCATACCTCCCCACATTTAATTGCGATTGAAATATAAGGCTCAATAAATATCTGCTGAGGGAGTACTCGCTGCTGTCTGTCCGGTTTCCAGAGCTGACCCCAGAGAACTGTCTGTTCAAGCAGCTGACGTAGGCCTTGACATCAGCGTGGAGGCCGACCCGCTGACCGGCTGAGACTCCGCTGAGGCGTCCAGCCAGGGAGAAGGGGGCGGAGGGTGGGGAGGTGCGACCCACCTGCGGCCGAGTGTCCAGGGAGAGGCAGCCAGAGAGCGTATCCGAGCCTCCGTCTCTGAGAGGCGGCCCAGCGTCTTCTCATAGGCATCATAAAAACATGTAGAACAAAAACGTTGGTCAAAGCCCCTTAGGCGAAAGCACCTTTGGTGACAGATCGCACTGGCGAACCAGCACCCCAGTGGCCGCAGACGAGGACACAGGTGCCCAGGGAGACGTCTTCCCCAACGCGTCCCTTCGTGCTTGAAGCCCTGCGGTCGCGCCTGCCCACGCTCCCACCTCTTGGTCGCCCCAAGTTCCTCTCTCCTAATCCACGTGGACACAGTCTGCTCCACTACGGGTGGCTCCTCCCTGGTACCACATCTGTCCTTCTGCCCGGAGAGGAGGGAAAGGAGGAGGAACTGGCACGGGAGGAGGCCTGGATCTTGCCCCCAAACTGGGGGTCCAGTGGGTTCCCTAGGACAGGGCTTCTGGAAGTGTCTCCCACCATACATAGCACATGGAGAAAATAACTGAAGAGGTGACTGGGAAGCACGGAACCACAGACACCGGGTTGGCAGTGAGCAGCCGAGGGGACCGTAGTTGGAGACGTCCGTGGTCCGCGCCGGGGTGGGGAGGGGGCGATGGGACCGCTCGCTCCGGGGAAGGAGCCCAGCGCACAGCCCACTCACGAGATGAGGGCTGTTCGTC